GGGGAGGGGGAGGCAGAGGTGCACCTCCCGCCGTTCTTGGCCAGCTCTTTCCCGAGAGGGGCATCTGCTCTTTTCCGCTTGTTTTCAGAGCTTCTCAGGCCCAAAACAGACGTGCTTTCGGGCCCAAGGAAATAAACCTCTTCACCTAGACTGCTGGCAGGAGTTTCTGCTTAGCCCCAAATTCCCAGGAGTGCCCTTTTCTCTGCCCTGGAGGAGTTCGGCCGAGGCCTGGTGAAGTGGTGAGGGTAGAGGATGCATCCGTGCTGGGGACGAGAGCTGAGGATGCTCTGCACCAGCCAGGCCTGGGGGGCTTTGCAGCCTTGCCACGTTTCTGCTCTGGCTGGAGGGATTTAATGGCCATCGTCCCTGAGCTGTGACTTGGGCCCTGGGGATTGCAGACTTAGATGAGTTGTGGCACCGGCCTTCACGTGCTCACACAGGACATGCGGGCTGCTGAGTGGCAACAGGACAGAGGCCACAGCACGGGGCTCAGGCCCAGATCAGACACAGGATGGGCCGGGGGCCGAAATGGCACGCAGGCGATTGGTAGAAAAAAGTTTCTTTCTTGACTTCTGGGAGAGGGTGAGGGAGGGGGAGAGGCACCCAGAGGGGTGCTCACGTGCCAGTCCGCCCGGTGCCAGCCAGCCTGGACCCTGGTGTGTGTGTGTGTGTGTGTGTGTGTGTGCGCGCGCGCGTGTGTGCCCAGTGTTCTTAGGGGGGCCCTGGGCCACGGGTCTGCGACCATCCCAAGTGAATCCTCTTGCATCACCCTGTGTCTCCAGGGCAATTCTAAACCTTTTAAAAAAAAAAAAAGGAAAAAAAGGGACCAGCAGTTGGCGGAATGGTTATGTTGCTGGACTCCCACAGAGTCAACCGCGGTTCAAGTCCTGGACCCGGTAGGTTAGAACTCATGCATGCATGCCCAAAATCCTGAGAGGAGAATGGAGAAGGGATTGCAGCATGGCCATCCCCATTCCCCGGAGGGTGATTTCTCATTTTCTATCTCTGTGGCAAGCGCACGCGCCCTGTAGCAAAAAAACTGTCTTTAAAAATAAATAAATACATAGTGAAAAGAACGCAGATGCCCGAAGGCCCGGTTCTGCCTCCGCAGAGCTGTTTGATCCTGGTCCCTCTGCCTCACTGGACCCATGGCCTCGACATTTAAATGAGGGATTTTTTCTCCATATCTCAGGTCCTTTCTGACTGAAGCCAAACTCTGGGTACGTGGAGCCCTTAGGGTGCCGCGAGGAAGAGCTTGAGAGAATAGTGAGATGCCGGCCGGCCTCCTGGCAGCTCGGGGCAAGGCCGTTGTAAGGCAGAGAAGCCCCTGTGGCTGGGGGCAGGTGGAGTGCAGGCCCTCGGGACGGTCGGGCCGTGAGCTTCTGAACATGCCGTAGTTCCCGGGAGAAGGCGCCCAGCACACATGCACGAACGCAGTGGCTGCAGCGGGATCGTACACGCATGATCAGACGGGTCTGTGCGGCGGCCCGGATGCTGGGTCGGGCAGGTGGGCCGGGCTGGTGCGGCCTGGCCTGTGTGTCTGCCATGGGCGGGAGGCTGGACGTGCAGGGCTGCTGCGAGGGTGTCTAAGTCCAGAGGGAGATCAGGGAGGGGCTATCCCCACAGAGGAGGAAGATGGCATCTGATACGCTGGCTGCCAGGTGGGGACCGTGACCCGGGTGTCAGACCTCTGAGTGGAGAGCCTGGTGGCACCTCGTATGCAGAAAGGCTGGTGCCCGGCGGTGAGCCCGCATCAGTGTCCCCCTGCTGCTGACGGAGCCCCCGAGGACTGCCCCTGCGTCCTGGCCTCCCTCGCCCGGCGCCCTCCTGCCTGCCTCTGTGAAGACGGTCCTCATCCCAGGACGCAGGCTGGCTCATGCGCCTCAGCGGCGACACTCCCTATGCAGAGCCCCAGCTAGCCAAGTGGGCCAGAAAGCCGTTCTGGGGAGAAGACGGGGTGGACGTGAAAGAGAAGGTGGCGATGAGCAGGAGCCGGCCGGGAGGGCCTGGCGCGGGGAGGACGGGGCTGCTCAGCGCCTTCAGCAAATGCTGGCCCGCCTCTTCCGTGAACCCGGGGCGTGTTGAGGGCTGTGAAAGACACGATCGGATGGGGCCAGCCCCGAGAAAGCCGAAGGGCTGGCGGATGGGGGAGCACAGGAGCCCCAGTGCTGGAGGGCAGCGCAGGGGTGTGGAGAGCTGGCAAAGCCCGGGGAGTGTGGGGAACTGATGCCGCTGGGAGGGCCAAGGCTTAGGCAGAGACCCCTGGGGACTTAGCCATTTCATCCTGACTCTACGAGCTCGGACAGGCGGAGAGGTAAAGCAGCCTGCCCAGAGACACCCAGCCAGCTGGTGGCCGTGTGCGTGTGCCCAGCCGCCGTGCCAGTGCCTCCTGGGCAGGGAGAGCTGGCTGAGCAGGGATGCGGTGACAGAACAGCTGGAGGGGCGCCCACAGGGGCAGCCCCAGCCCTGGGGTAGGACAGGCACCATGGCCCTCCACTCCCACTGCGTGCCGCCCAGCTCCCTGTGGGCTTGGCCAGGCCCGTCAGCAGGCTGGGTGCCTCTGGAAGGGTGGGGGCGGCGAGGAGCGGTCTCCTGGTGGACATGACTGCCCTTGCTCTGCCACCAGAGCACGTTGGGGGCTCCTCCTGAAAGGCGGTGAAGACAGGGTCTCACCTCTGCCGGCTCTCCACGTCGCGGAGCTGGGATAAGCTTTCTAAGGAGAGTGAAGGCAGTAAAGTGGAGCTTTATTCATTTATTTTTTTTAAACACTAAAGACTACAGTAGTGAGATGTGGAAAGTACCATAAACGTCAGGGATTTTTAGTACGGCTGTTAAACAACACTGAGGAGAGTGCTGAAAAATGGGACGGAATTAAAAACCAGCCAGAATAAAGGAGAGCTTGCGTGGAATGATTTAAGGAGGAAGGAGAATGGCCGGTAGGGGCAGGAGAAGGCGTTCGTAATTCCTGCGAATCCACGCGCGCCGGGGATGTTCAGGACAGTCCCGAAAGTGGAATCACTTCAATTAGTCAAGATTGCTTTGATGTGGAAATGCAAATCATTCGGCTGTGCTCAAGTCTGGGCTCCGTCATCTCAGATGCGATTCTGAAGCCGAGATGGACACCCCTAGACCCCCTCCTTAAATGTGGGCTTCCAAGATGCCACCTGCTACCACCAAAGCCACAGTTGTGGGACGTTCTTGCCAACACCAACTTCGTTATTCTCTATTGATCCAAAGGAATCTTCCCCAGCTCCCCCTTTTATATAAGAAGCTAGACATCCTGGCCTGGAACTGGGGGTCACCAGGAAGCCCTAGAAGCCGGAGCACCAGGTGCAGAGAGCACGGTGGCTCGTGTAAGCCAGCCCCTTGCTGCAGCCTCTGTGTGTGACAGGGCTGGGCTGGGAACGGAACGGTCCCCCAGCTTGGGGTGGCGGGAGAGCAGGGGGAGCCGCCGTGGAACTGGGCGTCCCTAAGGAAGCTGCCCACTGAGCCGTGGCCTCGCTCAGCTGGTACCAGGGGCAGGAGCAGCTTCCCCACATTCAGGTCAGGGCACGGTGGGGCCTTGACACGTCTACATCCTGGCACGGAGTTCCTGACGCAGGATTCGGGGTGACAGCCTCACGTCATGCTCTGTGCTGGGCAGATGTGTGTGTCATGGAGTGTAACGGCTGTGTCTTCAGGGTTCAGTTGCTAATGGAACTGCACCCACAGCCAGGCACACCCCTCCCCACACACACTTCGGAGGAGGGTCCCCGTGAACACCACCTTTCTCATTTCAGATCCCGCTCAGGAGCCTTCCGGTGCAGGAAGTAGCAAGAACCTTCTGGATGGTCCTCCCAAAGTGCTCCAGCCCTTCCTGACAAACAGAGCCAAGGTCGCCGGGGCTCCCCCGAACCTGCCCCTGCCGGTGAGGAACCCCATGCTGGCCGCCGCCCTCTTCCCGGAGTTCCTGAAGGAGCTGGCTGCCCTGGCTCAGGAGCACTCCATCCTGTGCTACAAGGTCCTGGGGGACTTCGAGGACTCCTACTGCTAGCCTGTCCTTTGCAGTAGACGTTCTTCTTTTATAAGGTTTTAGTATCTTCACCGAATGTTAAATGCAAAGCTGCTTACGAGAATGTCTACTTGGATATTTCCTGACAATACTTGATTTGTGGGGAGGGGGATTTTCCGTGTCTCTCCTCTCTTTCCAGCCAGGTCCTTCCAACTTGTTACCGAGAGCGAAGTCTGGGAGGCCGGCTCGGCAGGGAGCGCTCTCGGTGATCTGCTCGCTGTACTCCTCACAGCCTCCTCTCACCCTGGAGCTCAGACCGCACCGAGCGAATGCGGGTCAGAGGTTCCCCAAGGGCCCCATGTCGGGTTGGCCCCCAGCAGCACGTGAAGGACGTGCACCTGGACCTTCTGCATCTTGGCTTCCGTGTCCTCAAAGGGGAGGCTGCAGACGGAGCCCCTCCCGCCTCCCTTACGCATCCCTTGGCACTGTGCTTCCAGGACTTGAGCTCTGCCCGGCACGCCCGCCGCGTGGTGCAGGAGTCAGGGGTAACCGGAGAGAATCCGGAGTGCAGGGGACGTTTGTACCTTAACCAGTATGCTCCGATTGAATCACTGAAGATAGCCTTATTTTAGTGGCGATTTGCATGCAGTGGAGTGTACCTATGCGAACTCTTGCTTGGGACGGTAGGAGTTTGTCGGATGAAGAAAGCGTGGTATCACATACTCACATAGGACAGCCTTCATTTCTTCAAGTGTTTTATGAAAACAGAGGGACTTAGGAAGCTGTTTCGTTGTGGGTTTGGGGGGAGAATGGAGCGTGTAGGGTGGGCGGGGGGAGGCACGCTGCATGAAACCATGGGACACCGGTAGTTACGTCTGTCCGCCCTGCCTGCGGGTCTGCACTTTGTAGAGAACCCCCTCCGGGAGCCAGGATGTAAACGCACCTGGGCAGATGGCCTGCAAGGCCAGGTGCCTGCTGGTGACACGCCCCACATGGGGACAGTGCCTTCTGAGGAGTGGGGTTCATTAGAGGCCCCGGTGTGCTGGGTCGGGCTTCTGCTGCTTTCAACCTGCTCCATGAGGCCTCATTATACTGAGCGCCGCTGCCTCGCTAACCCCACCAGGAGGGGGAACATGTAATTGCGGGATGAAAAGACCATAAACAGGATATTTATGGCTAGTAAATCCCCCTCCTCTATTCAGGGCCGGGTTCTGCAGGGGGGCAGCAGTAAGGAGGTGAGCTCCTTGTTGGGGGGAGATCAGAAGCCCCACCTCTCCCAGTTCTCTTTGTGGGTGTCTCTGCGGAGCCCCAAGGGCAGTCGCGGTGGAGCAGCTGAGCCTCAGGAGCCCTGCTCTGGCCTTCATAGGGCCCCCAGCACAGGAGGCGGATGGAGGGCGGGATCGGACCTGTGACACTGCGGGGCAGGGTGGCCCCTTTGTGCTTCCAGGGTCTGAAGCCGCTTCGCATTGGGATTGGGAGCCAGGCAGGAGTGAGGGCAGGTCTGCCTCGCTGGTGACCAGCCGGTTCCGTAGTCTGAGCGAGAAACCAAAGATAGCGATCCGCTGCGCACGCCTGAGTCCGAATTTGCGCTGGAGAGTGGTTCGTGGGGTAGGGGCCACAGTGTACGGGCCCTCGCACTGTCCCGTTGGCTTCCTGGTGCCCCAGTTTCGGCGCTACCCACAAGTCTCCGTTAGAAAAGAAGGGGTCTGGAGAAAGAGGCCCCTCTGGTGCGTGCTCAGCCGTGCTTTATTACCCCCTGTGTCTTGCACAGAACTTCCTATTTGGATCTAGCAGGTCATGTGTGAAAGCCACATCTGGAGACTGCTTTATTTTAGTTTAGGTTTTTTGCCATAGGGTGCATGTGCTCACCAGAGAGAGAGAGACAGAGACAGTGAGAGGGAAGGTGGGAACTCGCCCCCGAAGGCGGATGGCCACGCCGCAATCCTTTCTCGTCTCTTCTCCTCCTGGGGATCTTGGGCACGCACGCACATGCACTCAGCGTGATTTTCAAGCCACAGGGTCTGAGACTTGAACCGCAGCCAGCCCTCTGGGAGCCTAGCGCCTTAACCACCTCACCACCTGCTGGCCCCCGGAAACTGCATTCTTTAGCTTTTTGGCTTGATTTGCACCTCTCTCTGTTAGCTGGTGGCGTTTATTTTCTTCTGTTTGAGTCTTTTATTTATTAAAGGTCACCAGGGTGCCCATTGTGGAGGGTATCCTTTGGGAATGAGATGAATTTTGTGCCTCTTACCACTTTTTTTCAAGTAGACATACTCTAAAGGAGAACAGAGTTCCCCGTGACGAGGACCCTCTCACAGACCTGTACTGAGCTCCGCCAGGGTGAGGGACTCTGAGGAGAAAAAAAAAAAAATTAAAAAAAGAGAAGAGTTGCCCGCTGTCGGGGTGAGGCAGGAACCCGCACTCCCCAAGCTCACGGTCACCTCTCGGGTTCCTACTTGGAACTGGAAGCTGGCTCGTGTTCTGAATCCATGGCAGCCCTCCTCCAGAAGGCTGTGCCCGGAGCAATGGAGTCAGGAGGTGAACCTGGAAACACTGCAGGGAGCAGAGCCCACGCGGGCGAGTGAGGAAGCCAGGAGGGCTGTGTGGGAAGTGGAGTGGGCACGCCCAGAGGCCAGCCGCAGAGGCCAGAGGCTGTCAGTGGGAGAAAAGCAGATCCTGAAAGATTTGGGGGCGAGACTTCTTCTAGACAGGTGTGAAGGTTCCGGGGAGCAGCCAGGTGAGGAGGGGAGCGCGTTGGCAGGAGAGCAAGCACAGCGACCGGGGGAGTATTTCAGTCCTGAGGCAAAAGGCGGAGGTCCAACAAATACCTGTTTTGGAATGAGTTTGGGGAAAGTTTTAAAAAGACACTCGGCAATGCTGAAAAATGCAGCCTGAGAGCGCGGGTGCTGTTCACGTCTCAGGCCCCCGGGTCTGTTGCTACGTCACAGGCTGGGACATGAGGAAAACAGGACACAGCCTTCGGTGCAGCCCGCTGGCTGGTGTCCCCATGTTCAGCCCCAGGCCCTGGGTGGTGAAGGCAAGCCAGGC